CAGAATTAACGCAGATCCTACATGCCACATGCGTTATTTCACTCCGCTTTCGCGCTTCAACCAGCGATCGTTCGATTCTAATAACCATTGGATTTGCCGTCCAAGCCACCGCGCCGACGTAATAGCCGCTAATTACATATTTTTTTGCAAACATTGTTCGGTAAGGATGCTTCAATGCAACGGGACATTTTCTTGGCGCCATGTAGACAGTACAGACCTTTCATTCAGCGCCGAGAAGCATCATAACGATTGATGTTCGTTTTCGTCCAAAACAGGGAGGAGCTTCATGCAACTTCTCTACCTTGTTCGGACTTCCTTAATAGGTTACCGAGATATCGAGAGCTTGTATTTTGTCCATTGTCTTCTTTACGAATCTTGGCCCGTGGTGGCTCTGAGCCTATCTCTAACGAGCTGATGCCGTCAGGTTGTACCATAACCGAGCAAATCAAAGCGATTTGCACTTTAGGATATGTCAATATTACTCAGGTCGTTTACTTGTGTTACTTCAGATCATTCAGACTGCTTTGAGATCCGGCTAGCTATATTGGTTTAGGTATCGTTGAGAACCTTCGTAAAAGTGGCAAAATGAGGCCACACTTTATGATTTAGAAATGAAGTCATTATTTTCCCTTAGGATGGCTTGAATTGCTCTGAAGTGCGTCCAATGGTGTCAGATTGGCTGTCTTTGAAGGTCTCCACGCCAACGGTGAGCCAAAGCTGCGAGTTCTGGCTTATTCCTAAATAAAATAATAACGCTAATATTGCGGTTTGGCTCAATTCTATTACATTTTATTGGACAGCTCTGTCTTGTCTGAAGCGTAGCTAGTAGTCACTGCAGATGTCCACGAACCTGGCTAACTCTGGCGTGGTGTGCATCTGATGATTTATCAATAAAATCAGATCTATATATAATAAGGATAGATCTTCAGATTGTTAAAATTGTTCTGAAGTACAACTCGCGGTGTCGACTAGCTGTCGCTGAGAGACCCTATCCATTTCCTACAATCACTGCTTAACTCCACACAAATTTGCGTAACGCTCGATTTGATTCAGAACTAAGCTTTGGACTTCTCTGAGTCGGATGGTAATCCTCGTAGCAGAACATCAACTGAACAACTTTCGTGGTCCTTAATGCGATTTTCGCGCCCTTATTACTGTTTGAAGTGACTTTGCTTTCAGGTATGACTCTTCTTAGTACCCTCACATCTTTTCATTGATTGAAGAATGAGAAGTGATTACTTACTCGAGTTCGTTATGGACAAGCATCAGAATGGGTTGCATATTTGGCATGAAGTACTATCTATTGAAGAACATTTCGGTAACGCTCTCACGTGATCAGAATAAAGAAGCTTCGCGAACCTATTTTCTCAATTTTTTTATTTGGTCTCATTTGGTCTTTTTTTTCATTGACTTGCCCCATTCATCAACGATTTCTGGTCCGTTGCTTATGTTGGTCACCTATGAGTGCGGTGCGGTCAAAGATGGCTGACATCACAGCTCTTAGTACTGTAACAGGGTGTCCGAAAAGTGGTATAATCCAACAGGAGACGAAACATAGTTTGATGGGCCCTATGACGCTACAATGACGCAATAATGCCATGCAGTAACAAAGCACACAATGCTGTACAGATTTCTATACAATTTTTTTCAATACATTAGGTGATGTTTAATAACTGTTTGTAGATTTTCTTTCATCTAGTATCTTCACCCTTTTCAATACACGTTACTGTCTTTAACACATGTTACGGAAACAATCAAAAACTAGAGTTGAGTACTTTTGCAATAATGGACTGTGACATTCGGTATCAACTGCTTATAGGGATATGCACTTCAGGTCACAACCCGCAACTCTGTTTAAGCGCAGATAATCCATTATACAGAAGCAAAAAGTTCCCATATTCTCGTCACTATTACTACAATCACAGGACAAACAAACGAATTATCCGTTATTAATGACTATCCAATGCTGCAGTGGTAAGGCGTTTACCTACCAAGTTACGAACACATCAGCTGATATAAACACAATTTTCAGTCAAAATCCAAACAGTTAAAGGGATGGTGAAGATAGTCTATGTTTCATGGTGAGCTTCTTAGCATCTTGGAGCCTTAAGTTAGTGCTTAATGGAGGTACAGAGAAACAGCTGAGACTCAGTTATGGAAAAAATTTTTCAGTAGCCATTGATTAGCTGCATTATATTGTGGCTTTTATGTTCCATATTAAGAATATCTGCCTAGATGAAAAAAATCCTAGCTAAAATTTCCCAGAGGCAGGAGCTAGGCTAGTAAAGTCCGAGTAAATATTCTTAAAAACTATTTAGTATTGCTCACTTAGGGGTAAGTAGATCTTCATACATAAAAAATCTGATTTGAATTAGAAGATTTTTTTTCTGAAAAACTGCAAGCTCGTTTCTGGGCTAATCTGAGTCACTTTGATTCAGCCGTTGACTCCTGATGGAAGCTGGAATCAACGTAGTGTACCAGGTTTCATTTAAACTGGCCGCTGAGTTTCCATTGATGTGAGACTAGGCCATCACACCACTTCCTTAAAATGCCTTCACGAATACTTAGAATCAGGCTCTTAAGAAGAAGGCTCTTAAGAAAAGGCTGGAGGCTTTGAACCTCGCGTGAACGCTAAAGTCATATTGTCATGGAGATCATAACAAGCAAACTCCTGAGCTTTAATTATACAATGCGGTTGTACAGTACTTTTGTTTTGTTTATTTATAGGGGGGAACGATACAAAGCCGAAAGGACATATATGGAGTTTGCGTGGCTACGGGTCCGAGTGTGCGCGTCTTACAACTCTCATAACAGTAGTACATTAAGAGACTTCAGAGTTGGAACTTATGAGGCACCCGAGGGTCGACTAAAAGGAATGACTTTTTCGAGATTGAGACAATTGCAGTATGGCCTCTAAAGGCAAGGCTTAAAAATATAGACCATGCTGATGCGGGTATTATTTACTAATAAAATCGTCAGCGCGTTTTGAAGAACTATACATGAATATACCCTGAGAATAGTCAAGCTTTGTTTCTAAAAACAAACTCTGCTTGATCGACTTTTTTAAAGGCCTATTAATTATTATATCTAGTACAGAAGTAAAATGCAGCCTTTCAAACTGCCAAATGAACTTTGACCTGACAAAGCACAGCCACAGTGAAAGGCCGCGCATCTTGCATCGATTCACGTGGAGCTTCCATGACGTCAGTGGTTAATTCTTCAGCGGCGGCGACGACAGCTTCGATCCGGGTGTCTTTGACATCAACACATTAACACAACCTCAAAGAATAGCCCATAGTAAGCTTATTTCATGAAAAGTGGTCTTTTTGTCTACGGCCACGTGAAATACTGTAGCTGGATTGTGGCTGGAGATATTTTCCAGATGGCTGTTTTGAACAGTTAGATATTTATCATCTAATCGTTAATAGTTGTAAAAATTCTCTCACAACGGCGCCCGTTCAGCATTAAAACTACGTTACCCTCTGCTTAAACTAAAACCAAGCACACTCGTTTACTAGACATGCTGGTTCTAGTCTACCTTTCAATAGTCCAAAAGGGCATAATAGACTTAAGTATGTCTATCCAAAAGCGGGTTGCATTCGATCGCTGCGGCGGTCCTTGAAACAGGAACCTTCCGTGTGAAGTCAGCCGCAAGTAGACAAAACAATGAGCATCTCAGAGTATGCCAAGTTGATTATAAGTAAATGTTGATTCTTTTTTAGAAATGACACGTAATTTCCTGCTATGAAAATATGATAGTGCAGTGCGAGATGATTTGGTTTATGGAACAATTTCTTTTGTGTGTAAACTTTCCTTTATGTAAATTGGCGCGAAAAGTGGTATACTCCGCGGACTGTTGAATATATCGTCAATAATTACACCGGTAGTGTACTAGACAATAAACCTACAAAAAAAAATTATTAAAAGAAACAGAGGGAGACTATAAAGCTGATCAGTTTTGGAAGGAGCGTCATGGAGCCGACCAAGAATGACTCCCAGGATTATAAGACCAAAGGTAACCAACTGATTATATCGAATTTGCAATGGATTTTTTAAAAGGTTCTCTTTCAAAATTGGCGCGCTAAAAGTCGTCGGATTCGATTGTTTGTGCCAAAAATATAATCTGCTAACTGTGTCACGTTTCCTTGTAGCTAAATGCCTGTGCTTTGATGTGAACAGAAATGCATCCACGGTACTTTTGATTGGCCTAAGTGGAACGCCAACTTATGCTTCAATATATACAGTCTTGATTTCCTTAATTTTTTTTAATTATGTTCGCCTCATCTGAGATTATTAAAAGTCTACATCATTATAGCAAGAATAAATATAACAGTAACCGTTCGTACGCTACAAGCTTCTACATATAGTTTATAGCGATGCTACATAATTATAAATCAGATCATATACATATATACATGCACATAATGCATGAAAATAACGGAAATAATTAAGAAGAAGGTTGCAAATGGTCGAATTGATCGACGCTAGTAACCTTAATAGCATTTTAGATTGATCACTTTTGCATTCATCTTAAATAAGCGTTAAAAAACATCCGAACCGCGCTAGCTCTACTAGATAATGCAATGCATCAGAAAATATAGATTTTCTAAACAAAACGTATGATGAAATAGCTTTTTATTAGTGTTTATATATAGTGTTTTTGCTTAAAAATGTCTTGTTTGAATAAGTGAGCTAGGTCTCTTTTGTCACGGCAAGCTGTTTTTAACATGTTATTGCTACTTGTTTGTCCTGAATAGTATAATACACAATAGGTAACTTATTATAATACTACCTTGTCAATTGTTGTTGTATGGCTTAGTAGGCGTTACTTACCGGTAGATCGACTAGACAGCTTCAAGGTCAGCGTTTAATTAGTATTTCATTATACGCATGCAGAAAATGTATACGGCTGCTTCAATCATATATATTCTCCCAGCTCCTAATTCCGTTATAGTTCCCTTTTATATAGGATCGTTCATGGTCGGCCTATTAGGCGTATTACTATAACACGATGTAGACCACGGTATGCAAGGCGCGGTGGCTTCGAGAATAGAACAGAGATTTGTTCAGAGCGACTTTGTACCACAAATACCGTGTTAATACTTTCAACGACTTTGAAATGCTTTCCTTAATGCCAAAACAAAATGACTTAATTTCGTAGTGGTGTAAATGTGCAGTAAAATAGGCGTATAGATGTTTATTTTTTCTCCATTTTTATCAGCCCTCAGACTGCAGCTCATGCCCAAGAGGAACCGGTGTGGGAACATATGGAATGCCATGAAAGCCTAAGAAGCGTAACGTTGCTTTATGAATATCATTACCTTACATGGATGCAAGAAAATTATCTCCTTTTGAAAAATATAGCAGCAAGCCTGCTGGAAAACCTTTTCGTCTGACATCGTCTATTGCAATCAGTGGGGCTGTCATCATCATTGCCGGCCAAATTCATCAAAAATTCGTATATCAAGCTATAAGTAGCCGATAATTCAAGCAAGGTGGTTTACCATAATGATTTCCGGAAAAATCAACTGTGTACTTATCCCCGAGTATTTTATTCCATTGCTCTATTAGCGATTATTTATCACACTGCAGGTAGGGCACCATTTTTTTTCAAAAATGTTATATTTTTTACAGAAAAGTCGTGAAAAGACAGTAAAAGGATGTCACAACGATTGTAATTACGACTATTAGTCGATTCTGTATTAATCACTGCGAATTTGCGCAACTTTGTTACCAGCCTATCACTGTTGACGACATATCTTCCGGGTTTCCACTGATAGTAAGTACTTGTTGCTACGGTCCTTTTTCTCTATCGGTCGTTTCGATTCAACCGCATCAATGACGACGCTCATCGTGCGACAACGAGTATGCATGCGTTACGTCGATCAGCGTTGTACCAGTAGCTATCCCAATGAAGCAGTACCAACAATAAACGGAGGGGCCAAAAGCAGACGGACGCTTTGAACAGCTTGGCACCGCGGACTACAGTTGCGCGGTGACTGACCGGCAAAGTTATTGGCGCTAACGACGACTTGGTTCCGTCCGTGATCGTGAGCAGCGGTACGCCGATGTTTAGCCGAACGGCCACAAACACATTCTCTCTTTGCGGGTAGCAACTAACACGGTAGACACTGACACTGACGGTCGCTGACGCACAGCAACCACATATCATTGCCCCATCAAGTAGCCACTGCTCCAATAATGTGCAAGTGAGTTTTCCGTTCAGTTGTGGGGAGGACGCTGTTCGGCGGTAGTTTTTACTATCTTGAGCATGCTTAGATTGACAGGTGTTGCAGCCAACACCTGCATTTAGTGTTGTCACATAAAATTGGTAGATAGAAGTGTGATCAAAACGCCAAGCAAAGCAATAGTCCATAGGAAGCTAACTGTCTGAAAACAAACAACTGTGTATCAGCTGTACTTCAATAGAAGGTGGTGGGTTATAAAGATTGTGCGAGTGTTTATCTAAAATGAACGCGTGAAGTCCTGAGTTTGGCACTATCTTCGCTAGCATTACTACGGACGGCTGATGACTTCTTCCGGTACGAAACGAGCCATCTATGTCCACTTCGCACCAGACCATTCAATCATGCATCCTCAAGTCTCGAAGGCAAACCTGTTGTCACTGCGCCATCTCGTATCTACGAGAGTTCCCATCCATTTCATAGTCTGCGTCTGCTAGAGATGTTCATTGTTGAGGAACGCTCAAGTGAATCTGTAACACTAATTCGGTTCTATTTAAGTTTGCCATTTGTTGTGCAACCCATTAGGAAAGAAGGAGACACGAGAAGTGCTTGCCCTTACCTGCTGGTACTCCTGCCCCCATAGTGAATGTTGTACGGGTAGAGTCTAGGGGCTTAGGCAAGAACGAAGATAGCAGAAAGAAGTTAATCTGGCTTTTTCTACTACTGCTAAGCTTTCTTCTTCTGCAAACCGTAACAAAAAATGTTTATCGATGTGCGCGCGGGCAGTTTTGGCTTAACTGTATCCACATTGTGGTTTGTGAACGTTCTTGCTTTTGTAAATATATACCTGATTTCCATAAGTTGTGATAATTCAGTGGCAAATACTCTAACTTAAAATGCTGCTGATATACATATAGGTTTTTACATATATATCACACTGGACAGTACAACTAGGCTAATGTGGCCGTGACTCGCACCCATCGAATCGAGAGCTGAATTCGTGATCACTAGCAAGTAGGGCCTGCGTGAGTCCAAGTCTCACGAGCCGTGCGAATCTCTAGCAGCGACAACTGTGTGAACAGAAGTAATGGAACTAGCCAGAGATAGGCACTGCACTGAGTGAGAAGACGCAGGTCTCCGCTTCCAGAGATTGCCCTCGGTAACCACTCCACAGCCTGCTAAATGCTGAATAAATAAGGCGATTTTGGGCACTGTCCTGCTTAGTAATGGGCAAGAGCTTGGTCCGGCAGCGCTAAAGTGGTGGTCCACACTCCTGATCAGATATTGTACTTCAACTCAACGCCACTCGGTTTGTATACAAAGACAATGAGTAACAACAGCTCAACACGATCGCATTTGTGCTATCCTTAACGTATCTGGACAAACGGCTTAGTCACATAATGATATACGTAGACGACGACGATGAAGATGAAAGGCTGCTCGGGCTGCTATCGGAGCCCCAAAACGACGAAAATGATCAGCCAGTGACTACTGCGGCAAACGCAACAGGTAATAACGGCTAGAATAATATCATGTGATAGCATGAACACGTTTACATCGCCTGATAAGGCACTCGGCATCTGTAGCGCATACTACCATAAGAGGACGCTGAGCCATTAACGGCGCAGGACACTTCCAGTCGCATAGAAATGGCCGTATGCGCTGACGGGATCAGAATCAAGTGATCCTTGTGTATGGTCGTCTATTCAATATTTTTTTGCTAATTTATTTTCATAAGCTGATCTTTTACAAGAGCTAATGCTGTGTTTACAATATAAAGGTTTCATTAGTGCAACGTTACTTCGAGGCAACGGAAATGAGTCTGGGCTCGGCTTATCTGTATTTTTCAGTGGAATAAAGTTGCCAGATCTAAGCTGGAGAGTCTGAATGAGCATCGCATCTTTTACCACAGAACCCATTCAGTGTTAGAACTAGAGGCGGTCGTCATGCCGATGAAAAATGGTAGATAGGAAAATCAATGCTGACTCTTACAGCAACGGCCGTTGTAGCAATCTTAATGTACACCATTTCAATGCTAGGCTCGTTCAAATTCGTCGAGACGTTTTTAAAGGCAATCAAAGTCATATCGATAATAATAATAGGCTGCTCTCTCTCTGTAAGCAGAAGCATCTAGAAAGGTTACGACTGCATCAGTTTTATAGACCCAGAAAACAGCTGTTTTGTATGTTTCTGTATGGTGAAAAGCCTTTCAATAGGAGATATGTGAAAATATTCCGGGTCTGCCCAACTCAACAGGAATGGCTAGAAATAAGGTCCCTATATGCTCCTACTGATACAGAATCATCGTTAGGTAACATCTGGCCTACATTTTTACGGTTCGCTTGCTTGAGATTTTTATTTTTCTGTCCCGGGGGTCAGGCAAGGATGTCGCAGAACACGTTTCGTAAAACGTGTTTGTGCAATAATGAAACGAACCATAATCCGTAATGTAGGACCGGCACTTAGTTCCGTTCAGGTGGAGGGACTTGTTAGCGACCACAACACAGTAAGACACAATACGAGTTCCCTATTAGTTCACTGACAAATTTTGAAATCGATGCCATAGCATATCGCTAAAAATACAATATATCGCTTCATCACGGTATTACTTTGGACATAGCTTTAATCCTAAAATGTTATATACGGTCACAAATTATGCCCATATAAAACGTTTGAAACCAAAATGCTACGGCGATTACAATAGATTAATATGTTTATCAAAATTATACGTTACTGTATTGGTCATCATTCTCAAAAAATAGCCTTTGGCTGACCGTTTCAGGTATTGATTTCGCTGGCAAGCTGCGTGTTGACTCTTTTTTTTTTCTTTATTTAACAAATATTACACTCTGCTTCGTGTCAAAAGTTAAGCAAAATGTCTGATGTTGATAGATTTCGCAATTTAGTTCTGAACTTCCTGTCAAAGTACCAGATGGGACCAACCTGGTTGTTCTATAATAGTTTTTGCCTTTGCCTTGCCGGTCTCCATAGTGAACTGTTCGCTGTATCATCGGGCAGGATTTACGTTCACGATGTCTGGGTTATGCTACGGGGTATTATGGGACTAAACAAGAATCAGCAAGTCTGATGCACATCTCTGAAGTTGAATATTATTCCGTGGCTAATGTTGACATTGCTTTGAAGGGTGATCTTGTTTGTATCTGCACACAACATCAGCATTTAATGTAGGTCTCGATCACCGTTACCGAAGGAATCGGCCATTCGCAAACTGAGATGTGATAGAGCATGTTTGCTTTTCTTTATCGATATACAATAACAATAACATGCCTGATCAGTAGACTCGCAAGCATAAGTCTGTCAGGCGAAAAGTCAACTTATTTTAACGCCACATGAACACTTACCGTCTATGGAAGACGTTGTTAATCTGAATTTTAACGTTCCGAGTTTTACATTTGGTGCTATTGCTTTGAAGCATTGTTTGAATCGGGTACTTGCTTCTTCTAGCACAAAAAATCGTGTGGTTACTCCTCAGTTCGAAGCTGGACCACCTCGAACCCCGTTGCCAAGTTTAGTTGGCAAACGCGTTACCACCATCTCACGGTGGTGATACATGAAACGTTCTCCGCCTGGCTAAATACTCCCGTCCCCTCTGGATTGCCCTGTCAGGCCTCTACTTTTTGCAACGCGTCTGATATATTTATTACTCTCCTGAATTTAATTTTGCTGTTCCATTTGCGCTGACAATGAAACGCCCTTGTCTTAAGTAACGACACCTACTTCGCTTTCATGCACCCTGTTGGGACTCGGCAAAGTTCGTGCCACTAAATTAAAATAGTCAAATATTAATATCTGTTTTCGACGAAATTTATTTACGGGAATGATGTAGCATTAATCAACGCGGAACCAGCCAGTGCGGTTTGCGACATGGTTTTTAGCTAAAGACGTTCCCGGCTTTTCCAACCGCTAATTTTAACGTCGACGAAAACCGACTACTTATACGAGACTAGTCATTCCACGACCTTGTTAATATGTTTTTTTTTCTATATGCTAGAAGGGCACTGGGTTAAGAAACTTAGTAATGGAATATTTCATCACTGTTTATTTCAATCTATTTCTACTTGCAGACAACAGACGCGGCAATAAAGCTCGGAATCTGATTGCCTTCTGGTAAGTCTCTGATGGCAACTTGTTTGTTGGTTTTGTTTTTGACAAGCATTTGTAAATTTTTCAAAATTTATAGCCCCTGCGAAAGGTGGCAACTTCCGCATGCTAACATTTCGTTGAAACGTTTAAGGGCACTCGAATTTCAAGGACGTATTAAGGCGCAGCATGGCTGGCGCAATTTTATTCGGACTTAACAATATATTTGTGACGTCTAACCTCCAAGTGACGAACAAGTCTGACTTCAAAACTTCAACCTTTACAAAACTGTACCTGTTTAGATTCCTTTGCTGATCTATTAATAGACCGGTGCATGAGATGATGAGTCACCAAGCAATATATCTAAGCCAATCTTTTTACCCCCCCCCCCCCCCGCCGACACACAGTAATAGCAATGTATAAAGATCGCACCCGCCAATGCGGATACAAATAAAATCGATTATTTATTATGTGAATAGGCCATCCTGTTTATTTTGCCAGCGCGCTGAATTTCGATCTAATACTTTTAAATTATCCCCTTAAATTATTTCTATTCTTGCTATTATTATTGCTAAGGTTCTTCTTGATTCTGCTAGGCTCCTGGGACTATGCAATAATTACGCCTATGTCGTTATGCTTTCGGCCGCCGTTGACATTATTGACAAATTCAACAATCATGTGAGTATCAGTCCATACGCCCGCTAGTTTTTCAAACTGAAATTATAATTTTTTTTTTAAAAAAAACTCAATTGTCTACAAAAACGTTCGTATCAATCAGGTTTTCAAAAGTATCAGTAAATAGAATCGTCAGACAACTAATTGCTGCAAAGAGCGACAGCCACGGTTAGCATTCGAATGTATTAAATGTATATGCGGATAAACAACTGAGAAATGATGCCGTCATATATATACTTTTTTTTTTTACAGAATGAAACAGTCGTTCCAGTTTGCACTCCTCAATCAGCTGGCGTAAGTAGAACGCCTTCTTTATAATTTTCTTTAGTATTAATCAAAGGATCGCTGATTGATACATTTTTTCTAGCTGCTAGGATAATAATGATTATAATAGGCTACCTTCCAGAGCATCTCTATAAAAAAAAATTATACCAATAGTATATGAAAAATTATGCTGCTATGATGTGCATACTTAAGCGAAAATTGTGTCCAATATATTTTTTACAAGTTAAGCAACGACTAACTAAGATTAGAATAGAAAGCTTGATGACGGGTCTGATCATTTCGTGCTTGGATCACACGAGAATCAGTAATCTTTTTTGCTGGATTTTAGCAATGGCTGAATATCATAGCCTGTTACTTTTTTCAATAGTTGATTTTTATACTGTCATGTAGGCAATTCTTCTGGCTGACATTTTTCCGGCGTTGCTAATTAAGTTATGCGGCCCGTTTATCAATGCGAATACGCAGTGAGTATTTAAGTTTTCGCTTTCTTTTCATCATTTTGTCCACAGACGTTATTGAAAATGCAGCAGCGAAATCATACGGCAAAATGTTCACTTGTGTTATTTTGATTCGTATTTTCCATTGCTTTTTCAAAAAGACCGCTCAAAGCCAAACTTTGTTTCCGGTCATTCCACCCGCGCAACAGGAAGCGTTTCGGGCGCATACCCATCAACTTTACTATAGCAGTACCCTGTAGTGTATAGTAATTGTAGTTCTGACGGTAACTTATACGCAGGATTGAGGATAGATAATATGTCACGTATTTACAGTTTAATCTTTTTTAAAGTTTACTTGTCGCCATCGTGACCCTGATGTCGGCTGGAAGTTTCATTCTGACATCATTATCGCCAGCAAAATGGCTCGCATTTGTAGGCGTTGTAGCAGCATCCCTTAGTAGTGGACTTGGAGAAATCACATTCCTAAAGTATTCATCGCATTACCACAAGTAAGTTCATTATCATTATTACGGTTATTATTTCTCTTACTACTCTTGTTACGCCAGCTAACCCTTAATCTTGCAAACTGCGTTTGTGAATTTTACTAGAAACATTGTATCGGCCTGGTCTTCAGGCACCGGTGGTGCAGGTGTCCTAGGTGCCACTCTGTATTGCGGAATCACGTTCGTTCTTTCACCAGAAGCGACCTTGCTTGTCATGCTTATTATCCCTATTCTACTTGCAATATCGTAAGTGTTATAGATTTCTGTTAAATACAAGGATCGAGATCCGAGTTATGCAAAGGCATTTATATCGACTTTATTGAAAATCGATTTTCGTCTGTTTTTAGTAACGACTGTTCAAACCATAGCACGAAGCCCAGCTTTTTCGATCGTTTCACTTCCTCCGACTTTGTTTCGAAAAATGTTTGCCCTCGGCACCACTTCGTCGGTTTCTGTTTACAGTGCCACGAGTGGCAGGTAGAAAGCTGCTCAACCGAGTTAGGTCCAACCCTATCACATAGGAGCATATGCATGTTCTTTTCGTCCTCTGTTTTAATTTTCATTTATTGCCTTGTCTAACTGTTATTGACAGCTTTTGGATTATCCTTGAGCACCCTCGCCAGTCGATCGAATCAGGCAACCCCTTAGGTATCTATTCTGCTGCCAGCGGCACTGGCTGTTGCGGATCCCGTGCGGCGCCTCGAGGACCTACGTTTTCGTTGGCCCAAAAAATAAACCTAATCAAGCCACTGCTCAAGTATATGATCCCACTTGGGCTCGTCTACTTTGCGGAGTACTTTATCAATCAGGGTTTGGTAAGTTCGCATTATTAGCAGGCCAACACTTCTTTCTTAGAATTGCGAAAACGAGCAATAGCTACTTGTGTTAAGGTTAACCAGCTAATCAGTTCATTGCAAATTAAAGCTTCAGAGTAATTTTCGTCAAGATCATACCTCGCCCTACTGTTCTATGACGCTTGTTTTAATCTTTAAAGATCTGCTTAATTATAATCTCTTCTTTTTCATGTATTCAAAGAGATTTTTTGTTGGGTTGACCGGCTTTTTTTTTAGGAATTCCGTCAGTGTCTCTAATCAGGACCTTATTAACTTCTGGTACTTTTTTCAAATGAAATATCCACATGTGCCTACGAGAATCCATGTTCCGTTCACTATTTATTGGAGTTTTCTCGCGTGCAGGTTATGTGATAGTACTAGGTATTGCAAATGTGTCGGCGTTGTTTGCTCGCGTCAAATCTCTTCAAATATATGTCATATCGTTTGGATTGTCCCTACAGACGGAGCTGATCACGTTCGAGAATAGCTTAACCCTAAAGAGTCAATACCGGTTGTACCAAGTATGCTATCAGGTAAGAGCAGCGACATAGCTTTAGATCGAGTCTTTCGTTAACGTACCTGGAACGAAATACAAACGCAAATATGTTATAAGCGGACAAACGGAGAAACTCTTAGTCACAGTACATGAGTATAGCGTAACGTGTATTTTTCACCTAGGTCATACAGCCGTGGTACTCATAAGAGCTCGTAAAAATGTAGTACGGCATGTCGAAGGAAGCTTTTTTAATTGCGCAATTGCATAATATATTCGTTATGTAGAATGAGAACGTTTAATGTGGTTTCTTTTTTATTCTGACGTTTGACATCTAGGTGGGCGTACTGATTTCTCGCTCATCAGTGAACGTGTATCAGATTAACAAACTGTGGGTGCTACCAATTCTACAACTTATTAATGTTGTCCTATTTACGTGCGAGGCCATCTATCGTTTCGTACCTTCGATCATCATCGTGGCCATCTTCATTGTGATTGAGGGTCTGTTCGGTGGGGCCAGCTACGTCAACACGTTTTTTAAAGTTTCACAAGAGGTCAGCACTAACAGTGATACCATATGCATAGAATTGTCAGCTGTAAGACAATATAAATACTTCTTTATTAGATACAGCATTTATCATAGTGGACTTCTATGTAATTGTACCCAGCGATTTGCATCAGACAGTGCGAATTATATCAAGGTTGAAAATTATGCAAATGCAAATTCGGATACAGAAAACGATTCGATTTGGCTATCTGGGTAGAAGAACAGGAAAATATAAACAAAAAAATGCTCTCCAAATAATAACAATAATAATAATGAAAAGACTAAAAATTATTATTAGTTTTTTTTTCGCCATTCACAGATTGCTCCAGAGGCCCGCGAATTTTCAATGGGGGTGACCTCGCTGTCCGATTCACTGGGTATCACCCTCGCAGCATTCATCGCGATTAAGGCGCACAACCTTATTTGTGATTATAGGAACTCATATTGAAACGAAGCTGTGAAAAGGTTATTGCCGCATTAACGACTGCAAAGCACCAATACCTTAAAGTGCATCAACGTCTATGATATGCGAGCGATGCTCAGTTGCTATAGATAATTTGTCCCTAGGATAACGTATTTGCCTGCTAACCTTAGGGGTACGTTGTGGCATAGGTTCGAACGCAGACATATGCAGACTTCGTTTTGTGATGGCGGGGAGCCAGCTGTCTGTCTTATGGAGGAACCATGCTTAACGACGATACCGGAAGTAAAACGTCGAGACGTAGATAATGTAAAATAAGGACATTTTAAGGACGTAATGCATTTCTTGATTAGATCAAATACTCAGATCGAATCGCATTGGCAGTTAAAAGTTTCAACACCATTGAAAAACCCGACGATCTGCTAGCAATGTTTTGCTTTGTATATTGACAAGTATGCTGATACGTTAATCCTGAAGCTGCTAAAAATTCATTATCAATCCTTGTGTTTGTGCAATTGGAGCGGCTTCATGCCTTAGGGAGGAAAGCCGTAGCTACGTAAACGGTCCAACAGTTTGGCGCCGCATCACATATTCACGAAAATTGCCTCACAATCTAACCATGCACATCGAATATGTCGACTTTCTTATATATAAAGATCGCGGTAAACGAAGAACTTTCTTACTGAGTCGCGTTTGACCCGATCAGATTTAAGTGATATCAGGGCGACAGGTAAAGGGCCGTGACTGACGAAGGTATTCGTGCTCGAGCTCGTCTTAATATCATCGGTGATTTCACTTAAAAATGTTTACTTTTTTCTAAGCAACTACGTATAATAAATATTTTCAGTTAGTTTATTCTTTGCACTTTTCTTTATCGGCTCATCAATCTTCATATTTACGATTATGTTTAACCTGCAATATTGAACCATGAATACAGCTCAATTACACGCTTACTAACAAAGACCAAAAATAAAATGGAAGCACAATGAAATAGGCGTGCTCAGGTGCTACCCATATAAGCTAGTTGGTCCGCTCCAAATGGGCACTTGGTGTGTGCCAACATTCTGTTGAGTGAGAAGGTCTCTAAGAAGACACCTTTTAAATGGGTCGATGTGGTACGATTAAAATATATTTCGTTGGCTAATAATTTATACTGATTCACGGTACCTATTCACTCGCACTGCTTAGAAAAACAGCAAGAGCTTTATTATTATTCTTTGTTTATTTTTACTATTTATATAGAAGTTAAATGCCAAATTTTTGAATGAATAGTTTACTTTCGATAGAAATTTTCGTTAATTTTTAGTGCATTAACAAATGTTCCGATTATTTCATTATGAATAATTCAGATGTTCTATTCGATAAACTATTCGAATTAATTTATAACGTATATGATTGGTAATGTCTAGAACAAATTTTTTTATTTATTACTTTTTTTTTTAGCTATTTTAAGTAAGGACATATGAAATGTCAGCTTATTGTTCGATGTGTTTGTCAACAGGAAATCAACAATTGGGTATAATAATAGTGAATTATGCTCACAATAGGGTCTCACTAACTCCCATCTTTTAATTTGCCTGATTTCTGTCTTATAGAGAGCGGATATAACTTGCTGATAAAATACAAACCTATTGCAATGATGGTGGTGGCATGTTTGCTTACTAACTTATAGACACGTAGATTCAAAATCGGGCGGAGAGGCCAGCCGCCCGAAGCAATACTTAACTGTAGTACTGTTTAGACATAAAAGTCTAAACATTTATTAGACTACAAACCTAGCGGATTGGCAGGCACAATATCACGTTATATATCTAGTGGTTTAAAAAATACCATCTTTACTTTAATATATAGTTTCAAGTTATCAGAATTAATATGAAAGTCTACTGAACGACAGTTTGACTCATCATCAAGTATTTATGGAAAATAATTTCACTACATTGGGTTACACTAGAGCAAAAAGCTGAAATTTAGTAGAATAACGCTTTTATGACATCAATGAATTTTTTAGTGCAATCGATTGATCTGTTGATGACTTTTGAAGCAGTGTTGTAGAAAAGCACGGATCTTCGCGTGTGGAATCACAGCACATCACCGATAAAAATTTTTTTTTTAGAAATTTTACTTAACATTGTATCAACAAGTAACAATAAAAGGTAATCTTAATTCGCTTCACAGTTAGGTTACAAATTTGTTCATGGACTAATAAAAAGCAATATCTTATATTATTTATACGAGAATTTCTACTTAGACAAAAGTGTGTTGTTTTTTTATTGCTCTTGCTTGTCTCATTTCCTTTCGTACCGATCTTAGGTTGGTACTTGATAGCTAATCGATATTTTGAATTTTACATTTGGATTCCGGTATTGGGCATTGCTGCACGCAGCGTGTTTCCGGTATCATATGTTTAAAACGCGCGACACGGCATACATCAGTAACATTTCAACATTGATCTGACGCAGCTTTCTGCTTCGGCTTATTATTTTCTTAATTGCTTCCCATCGTTTAACAGCTTCTAGCTTGATCAAAGTAAATTAAAAATGTTCTCTACGAAGCTAGCAATTTGAATTTATAAGGCCAACACACAGTTAAAGCAAATCAAAGAAAGCTAGCCATCTCTTTCTGAGGTAATTCCGATGCGTTGAGCCATGTCCATCGTTGTATCAAGTTGTGTTATGTGCTCCCAATAGCCAATTATATTTAGCGCTGATGTAATTTATTGTGCGTGCATAGATATTTAGATAATTGCTTACTTTTTATTATTTTTTACATCAGGTGAAGCAAAAGTCTATTGACAATCACTTGATAGATATTTATTACATATACATACACATTGAACTAACGAATGACTTTGCAGTTGTCTGGCATCTAACAGAGACGGCGAGTCAATAGTCGTTATTTACCCTTAGTTCGTTCAGAACTGCTAGCTAAGGGTTCGATTTTAGCAATTCAAAAAAAGAGCCGCGTAAAGCATAGGCCTGTCAATTGTAGATTGACAAACGTTGGCTGTTCTGCTGCATTGCTTTTCGCGCCGACACCTCCCGGGCTACAACTCATAGAGTAAACTATACTCTGCTTCATCCATGCCGACAATGGATACCATGGCAACGGATCGACTCGTTCACAGACAATAAATAACATTTCGCCGAACTCACGCCGGGTTACTGTCACTGCGTTGGGTCGTTTCACGCAGTAGAAAATTGTATTCCCTTAACGTATAGTTACACAATTTTATCGAATAAGCAATAAATTGTAGGCGTATAAGTTAATACTACAATGTAATATTTTTTACCATTGCGCAACGTACTTTGACCAGGTTTGGTGTAAAACTGTTTAAAATTAGATGTGGATGGAGTGAATACATCCCGCAGATTGTTTGAAGGTTGTTTTTTAGACGTTCACAGTATGCAAACGGTGATAAAAAACGTGCATTTCTAAAGCTTAACTTTATACAACAATTACTACGTTAAAAATAGTCTAAAGTGATTGGCTATTTAGTAAGTTAAGCCCAAAATCGTCAGATCGATTTAAATTATTTTCAATTTTTAGTGACAATTATAGCTTTTGCTTTCACGCGTGTTATTTCGCAAAGCCGCTCAGAACCATCTTTATACCACTTTTACTGAAATGACACTCATTATTTTCCCATGGACAAGGACTACACCTCGTAACCCGGATAAATGGAGAAGCTTTTCGTTCGACTTTACTGTTAAGCGTTGCTATGATCTACTCACATTTGTCAATGGTTTAGTGCAGGACGTTTCTGAGTAATAACAATTCAGACTGTTACTATATAGTTAATACGTAGAATTTTATATAGATGTTAATGTGAATGCGAATATTCTACGTGGAAGGGCGACTGTCATTCAATAGATATTTACTACGCCTACGGATTAATATATTTGTTTGTTGAAACAGCTGTTTGAGTTATCTACGGAAAATGTTCGTCTTATTTCAATACTATTTCAGGCCATATGTATGTAGATAATAACTACAAAAAGTTAACTTTTTAAAAAATTTCTCTATCTTGACGTTCATGGTTGTTGCCTAGACTTTTGACAAGCAGATTGAGAACAGCGCTCGAGTAACGATGGCTGATGAAGTAAGTGTACGAACGGTGAAAAAGACCCAGGAGCTACTCGGTGCCATAATCAAAAAGCCGCAACTTACGGAAAAACTACTCAAAAAACCTCCGTTCAGGTTCCTACACGACATAGTCCACAATGTAAGTAGTTTGGGTATGTTACTGGGGAAACATGTATTATTGTGTAAAGACCCAGTGCTACGTGAATCGTCCACAGACATATGTTCTACATCATATAGAATTTTCCTCTATGTCTTTGATAGGCTGTTAAGGGTACGACACAACTGTTTTAATTACAGGTGATCAGAACTACAAAGGCATTCGAGGGACTCTACCAAGCCGAGGAACTCAACTCGGAAAATGTCAAGGTAGCCTGAAAGGGTCATGAATAGGCTAAAATGATTTCTGACAGAAAATCACTTACATTTTTTTGGTTATTTTGCTTTTGCCCATGATTTGAAACGCGATCGATAGAAGCTATTTGATTAAATGCGATTGAGATCTGCGAAATACATTGTAAATATTATTTTGAATTAAATTCGACCAAAAAATACACCTCACCGGCTATTAATGACAATACGTCATCATTATCCCAAAATTTGAAATTGTTTTTTGATTTAATACAATAAAATTTTAAAAAAATTAACGTTTCATTGTTAAATTTAAACATTTTCCAATTCATAAAGAAAACACTTAATGTGTTCTTTTTTATTGTTTATCTGAGAGTTCTACTTTTCTGTTTTAGTCCAAGTGATAGAATTACATTTGCAATCGGATTTTTTTCGTTGCAGGAAAAAGAGGCGAAAGTAAGCTTTCTTCAAAAGATTATTGACGCTGTTGGTAAGTTACAGCTAACTAATTATTGCTAACCACTGTGCATCTTCAAGTTGAATTAGGAAAAAGACCAAAAACTCTTCTACGTATTTCTATGAAAACATGAATAAAGCATCTTCGACCTACTTCCACGAAAACAAAATCAATAATTTACCTTATTTCGTTCGCCTAAAGTAACTTTTGTGATTACCACAAATGTCTTAGAAATAAAGATACGCATATAATAAAGAAATTTTCTTGCGCCTGAGCGAATGCTTTTTTGTAGCTTGACAATGTAGAATATCAGTAATACAGATCTATTGTTACCAAAATTTCTAGTAAGAGACAAATGTTCGTGAAGACAGGTGAATATGCAGTATCCTATCGTATAGCACAGATAAGTAACTAACGGTTCTTTGCTGCTATATACGAAGGATTTATCTTTTATTTGGCCCATCCGATGGCCTTCGTAGGTAAAGGACCTACGTATTTATACCTATAAGAATTTAGAATACCTAACAATTTCTCGTATTTGACTTAGTCATCATTCTTTTTATACCGTATTTCAGTGTTTGCTAGTGGCGCCTCTCTTTCAGTTAGACCATCGAAGATTGTTGCTGGACACGAGCCTGAGAAAACCAACGAGCTTTTACAGACCTTGGCAAAGGTTGTCCAGAAGAACAACGACACCAAAGACGCTGTTCGGCGGGTGCTCGCTGGCGAGAAACCAAACAGGGAACGTGACAACAAGGCCAAAAATCGCGGCACCTTAAACGCCAGTGGAAGCGTCGGCAGTATTAAAAAAGAAAAAAAAGAAAAGGTGATTTTTGAAATGTTTACGTCGCCGCACGTCCCTCCGTTTATTTCCTACCGAATAACGCAATGGAGACACAACCGACTTCATCATACAGAGAAAGAGTGTGGGTTACAAAGCGTATTGCCATATGGGTTTTTCCGTAGACTATGAGGCACTGCACGAACTGTTAACAGCTTCGACCTACTTTAAAGCGCAACGTTTTCGAGAAAAATATTCCTTATTTGGCCAAACCTTTAAGCCGTCCGCAATACAATATATATTTAATCCCAAAAAATATAGCTAAATATCCCATGAAACAAATACAGTCTCAAAGTACGGTATGTAAAAGAAATACAGTTTTGATTTCACCGCTAATTAAAATTAAGTTTATATGTTGTCGTAGGAAGTACGGGCCATCGTGGATTAAAGTATAATGGCAAAATGCATACTCTGTCTATAAAAAGCAAAACTCAGTCTACTCATGAACCGTGCTTGCCACAGCCAACATTTTACGCCTTCTCGTTTAACGTAAGCCGTATTTGCAGTTGACGAGATCCAAGGATAAAAGTGCCATGGAACCTGGAAGAGAAAAATCAAAACATGACGACTCCAGTCGACAATCCAGAGACAAAGATAGCTCAAAAGTAGATGCTGACACAAAGGATTCGTCCACGAAAGACAAAAGTAGTAGCTCAAAAAGTAGTCGAAAGAGATCTTCATCTAGCCACCGCAAGAAATCCCCTCGACCTTCAGAAGCCTCGGATGATCCCCTCGAGAACCAGCACGAACGGCCACTGATGCCTGACGGACGCGCAGGTAATAACTGCCTTATGAGCGACAACTTAGAAGCAGAAAAAAACGAGCTCAAGGTGAGTAACTACGGGATATACTTGGTTATTCTGGCTGATCTTACGTTTACCCGAAGTTGGTGTATGTACCTAAAGTTTTATTCCTGCTCTATAAACAATGGAACAATTACTTCTTATAATAAATTCTGTCAGACGAAATTATAATCATCTCCGTATGTTATAAAGGCATGGCGAAAAAATGAAACTTCTTTTTTTTGTTGTTTTCTAAATAACAACTAATACAACGTTTTATGGTGTTTTTAAGGATACGTTTATTATCAAATGAAATGTCTACTGGTCTGCCCGTCTAAATGAGCCTGTGTTTGACTTATATAAACACCGTGATCATCATCATCATCATCATCATCATCGTTGCCCCTTTTTCAGAGTGAGGACAATTCAATCGAAATTAAGCACGAGCCACGACCTCCCACTCTGGCAAGCGTTGGCGGCGAATTACTGGGCGAAGGTCATGCGGGTCGTGCAGCTGAAAACGGCGACCTTCCGGAGCCATTAGCGATTTCGAGCGCTAACAGTCCCATAACTGCCGATGAGAACGACGTACCTAATGACGCTCCTGCGCCAACCGAGAACGATCTGGCAGCGGCTAGAGCTCTGTTGCGTTCTGCCCGGCCGGGTACCTCTCGGCGAAGGCCACTCTCCTCTCTTCGAGGTAGTGGGGCTGAGGGCCTCGGCGAAGAACCGACCGTTCGGCCAACGACGGCGCGGGCTTTGGCCAATGTTATCGTCGACGCCCCCACAAAGGAAGACAAAGAGGAAGACGATACTTTTGTACAGGTGGGTACTTCTTGTGCCTCTGAGTGGTATCACTGCGACACGTGTGAGTCAGAGATTGCTCTGGGAGTCCGCGAGGGCGTGCTGTGGTCAAGGTCCGAAACCAAGTGTAAACACACGTTCCTCCTGTGGAAAAGGAGCCAGGCGTCCGACGAAATACTTAAAGGCAGCATTGAATAGCAAGCTCAAAACACTTGTTATTTAAGTTGTGTATAGAAATTGGGAGATTAAAGGGGAGAAATAAGCAGAAACGTGGTCAACTGCTAAGATAGGAGGAGTATGGTAGGAGTGCGATATCTTGATAGGTAGAGCTTGTGATCAAGAGAACCGCCTCTCGCGAACTCGAGATTTTCTATTTAAGCATACTGTAGTATAAGTTAGAAATCAAATAAAAATTTTACCATTTTTATACATAGCATAATGATAAATATATTTTGAAGTTTCGGTTAGCTTGTGCAAATGATGATAATTTCGCTGACTTTCTTCAATGTGCAGATAAATGAAGAAGATGGCATTAGTGAACTTCATGACGGTGTCCCCACGGCCCCTGACGAAGCCGCTGCTGAAGAACCAGAAGGGGTGCTAGTCAAGCAGCTCCTGGAGACTAAAGAACAGTTGGACAGGGGCGGTAGTGGATCGGGAAGCCGAATTCAGAGTCCACTTGTCAAGGTTAGTAATTGATAACTATGCCAGTTGACAGCAAAAAAATAGAATTGGCCTATTCAATTAATTGATATGTAATTAAGATGATTGAAATTGTTTCCATGTCCCGGAAGTAAGTGTTCGCGAGGGTCGAATCAATGATTTGTATGCCACGACAAAGTGCACATTGTGTGCGGCTTATAAATTAGAGGCAGACAGGACCTGGCAATGTACTGATGATGTTGGTAGTACGCTGACTAATAGCTAAGGTTCATCGAATGATGCATTAATTCAATTTACTTATGTTTTATAGCAGAATAATTATTGTCAGTCAGCAGATAAATGATGACAGTAAAAGTAGAGAAGAAGATTTGTTCAGTTTACTAAGTCGCAGTTCTCTGTCTGGCCCAGGAAGCTCTAAATTCAAACTCATCTAACACTTAAAAGTAAAAAAAAATAACACTTAAAAAGCCCAACTTTTAGATAATTCAACTTGCGATTATAAAAACTGCCTTAGTCAGAAAACAGATGAATGAATCAACATTTGCCCACCCTGTGTTGTAAACAAATAAACCAGGAGAGTGCATATTCCGCGAGGGATTTCAATACAATTGAACGAATTCGCGAGCACATTCAAGGCGTCTCCCGAGGCGCACTTCCGATGGGTCGTTTGTTAGACCTACTATATGAAGACCTCGACTCGATGCTTACGGAACTCAGCGGCTGGAAAGAAGAACACCACCGGTGCAACAGAGAATTTCGTCGCCAGATGAGGCAAGCGTTTGAGACCATACGTCTTTACTGTTCATGTATACCGTACGCTTTTATACTGTAGCAGACGTACAGCTTCTACAAAGCCTATTGTTATATGTATATCTATATAATACAGCTCGAGAAATGATTGTTTACTGGTGACAGTTTAGAACTGTACATATCACAATGGACGGGAAAGGATATAGCTTTCGGATAGAAGGCTTTTTGGTGATCTTATTTGGTATACACCAAATTGTAAAAATACAACAGATACTCAGACATTGCCTACTTAATCTTACGTCTCCGCAAAGATGACATTGTTCGCAGGTGTACTATTGTCTGTTTGATATGGTCACGCCTGACAGACTTTGCTCAGATAGAGGATATTGTTATTATTTAATAACAATAAATTAATAGAAATAGTATATTAAGAATGACTGAGAGGCCAGCGTGGCAATTTCCAGGTCTTTCTTAATCTGTGGCAAAACGATTGGCGTCGATCAGTGGCGCACCACTCGTGTAAATTTTGTTGAAATGTCGACACTAGTCCAATTGGCATTGTTTCAAGCGATTCAGCAGTTCGACATGTCCTGCGAGAACATATTTGCCTACCGTCAATATGACTGTTAATGATGTAAACAGCTTGAAATTGAGTAATCGTATTGTTTTGCCAATGCATAACAAACCATCGGCGTAAACTCTGAGTAGATGACCGGCTGCGATCTAAGCGAATAGACCATACATTTTGGCAAATCAATCAAAGGAATAAGTCGCTTTTTAGGTCATTTTTACCCTGTACCCCTATTCTAGTCGGTCGTCGCGTCGTACCTACGTAAATGCCGATACTAACTCAAGCTCTCGTTGTTCGATTCTAGCCGTGCTGAAGAAGCCTTGTCGCCTCTACAGGAACAACTGGAACAGCTCGATAATGAGATCGGAAAAGAGAGTGAATCTCTTCAGCTGTTAAAGTACGACATACAACAAGTTACCAGCAAACTTAACAAGATACTTGACGGGTTTCTCACTAAAGTTTAATCCTTTACGAAAACACTGAAAAAAAGCAGCTCTAACCAGAAAACAGGTCACTAAGCTGGGTCCTCGGCGTTCCACCGGGAGCGCGCGGACACCACACCCAAGATACAACACCTACGCCCAAATATGATTCGTGCTTTTGAAGAAAAATATATTAAAATTTTCAAGCAGTCCCGGTTGGTTTCGAACGGGATCATGTAACAGAACAAACGTTTTTGAGCCCAACGTAGCGTGTTATAGAAATAATTGAAAGCGAAAAGCTTCTCTCCCTCCCTACAATAGGAAATTATAGGTTTCTAATTGAAGCGTTCGTGCACATTTACGCGGGAGTTTTTCCAAAACGTACGTTTTTCGATGCAGCGTAACAGATTCGTCCATTTTTTTCGTTTTAGGTTAAATTTAAGGTTACGTCTGTCCTTTTTGTTGACGATACATTGTTTACGGTATTGCTATTAAAAAAGGACGACCTAGATAGGACAGTTACGCATTCGGAAAGTTGTTTCGGCAAACATGGAAAAGTTATTTGTACGCGTTTACAGTAGTTCGAAGTGAATAAGCTGAGTGCAGTTACCGCATATTAGCTACTAGGTTTTCATTGTTTACATAAAGGTATCGTTCATTTCTAGATTTAGCATCATGTAGGTCATAGGCCGAATTGGTTCTTCCGCCACAGCCTAAAGAAATGGCGCCCAGACAGTTATGCGGGTTATGTTGCAATAGTTGTACTGTAACTTAGATCTCAAAGTGTGTCTATCCTACTCTTTTACGGCTATTGTTTAGGTAGGTAGGTAGGTAGGTAGGTAGGCAGTATAGTAGAATAATAGTATAGTAGTTTTATGTAAGGTAATTCTGATATCAAACTTTTGCTGTAAACTGGCTAGTTTAGGGGATCGTAAAATATGAGAAATGTAATGAAGTTTATGGTCTCTGGCGGTGCTTGTTTTCTACAAAGGGGTTCGCTGTTTACGTCTATTGCAAAGCCGGTTAGCACGAATCCACAAACAATAGACGCTAGAAGAAAGTACGGATCTGATTAGGTCCTCTTCTCATTACTGTTAAAAATTAGCTTAACAGGCCAATAAACAGGCAAAAGCCGAATTAATAATTTGTTGTGCTATTTTCAAGACAGACGAATGTTTGTTGTTAATAGTATCGTTATTATCTCAATACAGCTACAGATTATTAGAGTACAATAGCAATAATTTCCTGATGATACACAACAATTACCGTATCGTCACAACAATGTAAGATGTGTAGTAGAAGAATATTAATGTTAAAAATGAATATGGCCTGCGCATAGAAATTGCGCGACAAAAAATCCTGAATGAGATATATTCACACGTAAGCCGAAGTACTATTGTAGTACGAAGGCTGTTTTGTAAATAATAAAGTAAAAATTATTGGCAGGAAGGCCTGAATTATTTGTGCGTTAGCAATTGGGCTGGGTTTTTTCCGAAAGTAGCCTAACAATATGTTAAATCATCATGATAACCTTTATAACGCTGGCGTAGCTCTTCATCGTATTGGCTTGACAGAAGGCAGATGGCCGCATTTCACCTGTCTGACAATCCAATCACTGCAAATCCCAGTGGCCCATCCACTTGTCTGCTATCAAGCTTTTCCTTCCATGCTGGGCACCTTGCTAGCTGATGCAGAAATGTATTTTAATTTGCTTGTTCTTTGCTTATCTGTCACACGGCTACCTAGGCCCGAGTGAAGAAGAAAGGGAGCGGGGGCCGGAGTCGGGAGCGCAGAACAGTCTGATCTTAGACGAACGAGAATTGACTGGCTGATTAGAATTCTCCGTGCGTTTGTTCTAGCGCGTGGCTGATCTCCGAGGAACTGCGGGGAGCCCAGCAATCATGAAGGGAACCTTGTTCACGGATGCTTTATTTAGGAGGGTTATTTCGAGTTGTGCTGGGTGCGGCGCGTTGTTGTTGGGGGTTCAATCTGCGTTTGCATGATAACTAACTGGCACGATTACTGACAGAACTCTGAAGAAGCTACAAATATAAGGTAGGTTACAGCTGTAGATGTACTAAGCTAACTATACATTTAATGTATGTAGCCGGACCAGCTTAGCTATATATGTATATATGTGTAGCTAAACATAGGGCTTAGGACTTGTGTTCGGCTTGTATCAATTGTTCAGCGTATCTCGCTCCTCATTAAGGTATACTAGCCATCGGTTGAATCTCTGTTAACACCTGGCTGAAGACAAAGCGTATCGGATACCGAGATAAGCGCACGGTCCATTAGATTTTCCTTGGCCTGATTGGCAATCATGGAATCTGGCGATGCCTAATAGGTGCTATCCGTGCACTCCATGCCTTTTGTTTAACTGAGACTTGTGGTCCGTCGCGCAGGTGCTGCATTTGATACCCACAACTTTCTTCAATTGGCGAAAACTATGCTTAGCAATTATTATTGTCTCTATAGCTTGGCGTTTCAGTGCACTGAGATTCTTAACGAAAGTTGCACAAGAAGTTATCGAGCGGAGTTTCAGTTATCTCTATTAACAGGACCGCACCAGATAGCTAAATATAATTAAGTTTTTAATCTGGTTGGTTGAAATTAAGTAAGTAAAACAAAAACTTTTACATGAGAATTACGGCACGTTGATTTCAGCTAGTAGAGTAGCTTATGTAGAACGTTAATACCGCTAATATTTAGGTTGTCTGTAGGGATATATGGTGTGTATATATAGGAAATTATAAGGGAAATAATGACATTGCAGGGCAAACGTTATAAAGAAATTAATATTACGGTTAAGTATACCGACGATCTCTTACGTACACGTCTCTGTAACAAAAAGTGCAACAAAAAGCTAAGTTCCTACGGAAAATAGATAATTAATTAATTGAAATTATCATTATACAACGTTACGCAGCAAACAATATCTAAATAACACAGTTATTAGGTCATTCGAAGTTATTTCGGAAGCTAACACTTCTTAGCACTTAATAACAAATTATCACTCCATGAGGTCTATTCCATAATGTAGGGGCTTAATACTTAACAATTTTAACTGAACTAACCCGAATCGCAACATCAAAATATGGTATATACCACCAAAAAAACATTTTACATTGGACGGGTATTTAAGATTGGAACGGTAGTCATTTGGCATAGGCATCGGGTGGCTATTTTATTGTTGTTATTAAATCTTGTTGTCGAAGCCCTTCGTAGAGGTAACGTAGTGAGTAGAACTTTGATGCATCGATTCGGGATCCCGAGTTGGTTTCTCAGCCAACGCTCCGCCATTTCCCAAAAATCGGTGAACTTCATAATAATAGTAATATTAGCTCTCGTTCGCGTTACTTCAACGGCACACGCATGTATTCTCATTTATTTCGATACTATGACCCCGATTGTACGTCCGCTTGTCTATGTCATGATCTAGCTCTGCTGCGTACATTGCTATTTGCCTCCTCTTGACTCTTCCTACTATTTTAAGGTTTCTAATAGCACTTGGCCCGATCGTCCGACAACAATTGTTATCTAGCCTTCCTGCCTTCTCGATTGGCTAGAGTACTATGTTGTGGTCACTGTCGCCCGATCAGGCCCTGCCCCTCTTTCTGCTCTACCGGTACTAATCCGAGTATTTTTATACTCGGAAGCTCAAAAACCTAGAATACTGCAGATCAATTCTCGTTATTTGTCCTATTTTCAGCAGGACCATAGTCACCACCACTGTTTTGGCCTCGAGAGACAAACAGCCTAAAGAACAGCACCACAGCAGCGCTCCCATCTCATGAATGTTACATTAGCCTCTTGTCACTGCCTAATACGCTTCTTTGCTTCTGAGCGGTGCGTGCTATGGAGAGCGGAACCAGCGGAGCTAAAAACTATGTGTTGTTGGCTGGAGGTATTGCAGGATCCCCGAAGCGTGAACTAGCAAGTTAGTGCCGCAGCTAACAACGGGGGTGTCAACGGTACAAGGTGACTAAATGGCTCTGTCCAAGTGTCCCGCACTGGCAGAAGGTTGAACATGATGTCGCCGCCGGTGGCGGCAGGCAATGGGCACTCGAAGAAATTACCAAGGGGGATAAGGGAAGTCATCGAAGGGGATCCACTCACCGAAGCGGACTAGGGCTAGCCGGGTTGATGGCGATGAACATGAGCGATGAGACTGATGCGGATGTTTCTAGGGGTGCTTGTTGTTTTTCGAGGTGACAATTCTATAATTTTCTTCTAGAAGAGGAAGTGACACTCTGTTAATTCGTACGTGTTTGCAGGCAGAACGAAGTTCTCTTAAATGATTTGAACGAAAGCCATCTACAGTTGCACTTAATAGATGATTGCATTTCAGATAGAATTTCTCGGAAACAAGTATTCAAACAGTACTTGCTCTTCGAACAGTTACTTTTTTTACTTCTTGTTAACTTACGCCTGAAATATTAAGCTCACCTGAAAATCCACGAATATCTCAATACATTCGACGCACTTGCTATTAACGCAAGTATCAAACCCCTTTTTAAGGAGGTTAAGGATCTATACATTATACAGACCAGGTAGGTATTCTTCAGATAGCAATTATCACACCTAGAATTGTATTTCTGTATCTTCAGAACTACTAATGCTTACCTATATACCAGCTAGGAACTGCGTTCATAGCTCTTTTCTTTTCGCCAAGAGACATGATACAGTGTACGGCTTGAATGTAGACGGTAGCCTTAATAGTCTTACGGTTGTAAGGCTCATGTACTGGGCGCACTACATTTTGATATGAAGTCAGGTAAGCGTATGGCCATCGGGCCACGTGCATTGTATCGTTGTTTTCCCGATTCTTCTATCGTCGTTCGCCTTTTTCAGACTCGCAGGCCCGTGCCGTAGACAAGGGGAAAGAGGCAAAATGTTGCCCTACTTTCGTTGATGAACGCTTCCCCCGTCGCTGTTTTGCATTCGTTGTCGATTTTGTTACTCATAGCGTACTTCTACTACTACTACTACTACGTTTTTCTTATATCTTCACAGTAATCGAAGTCTTAACCCGAAGTTGCCGCCGGGAGCAAGCAGTGAGCTAGGGCAAAAACCCTGCACACCAGCTGCTTTTCCTGTGCTGTTTTTAAACAGGTGCAACTGTTCCTGCGTGAAGGTTATTCGATTATCAATAAGGTACATAAAAAAGTCAAGCTTCCGTCTGTGTAGGAAAGCTGAAAATAATTATATTCAGCTAGTCTTATGAAGGAATTGGATAGCTCTAGGTGAAAAACAAAGCCTGCTAGGTTTCACTAAAGCCGGCCCCTTGTTTGCCCTTGTTTAGATTACAAGATGCTGCAGACTTAATTTGGAAGAAATCGCAAACCGAACGGCGATCAATGCTGGCTTATTTTAAAAAGTCCTAATTCAGGATGTCTTTTTCACTAAGGGGTTCGGTGTGATTTCGTACAGTCGTATTTCAATTTGTGACCAACAATGCTGCGTTTACCTCATCGACGATGCTTTTCAACAGGCCAACCCTGTCTATCAGGCAATGTCAACGGGCAGCATTCCGTAATGATTGACGCATACTTTTCGCATCTCGCCGTCCCGCGTTGGAGACAAGCAAATTCATCAGAGGGAGGAAGGTTCATTTAGAATAGATCTGCGTGTTGAACGTTTCCCATTTTTCTGTTTCTCCATATAGAAATCAATTTACGCAATGATCGGCGCTATTTTTGCAAGATAAACTATTGATAAATGAGTATCGTTACCTGTTATGTGGACTTTAGCAGGAAGGCAAGCGGCACAGTGGTCGGTGAGTATTCTTATACTAAGCCAGAAATCTTGGCACTATAGTGACGCGACATCAGTGAGAAAGTCTCAGTTGCATGAAAGAAGAGCGCCGACGGAAATCTGATTCATAAATGCTACGCAATAGGTGATGGCGTGTTAATATTTCACGCAGATGTTTTGTAAGTATTTATCGACTATTCGTCAATGATATTCCGTTTTTATTGGCGAAGTAAGAAAAAAAAGCGCAGATTTTCTCCAACCTTGGAAATTCAAATGAAACAATTCGTCGGCTTGATTCCTCCACGCAACCGCCGAAGACGGAATTCATCCAGATTTGATTCCGATCTGAGACATCAAATCATTCACATCACTCGTTCTGACGAACGGCTGGCTATTTGTTATAAGCAATTTCGTAGTACTAAAAGAGCTAGACGAATGTTCCGATAACATGCACAATGTTGGCACAAACTTCGAAGAGGCAGACTGAAATTGCGGCTAGTGGCCTTCGTCTATTTATCCGGACCGTTAGAGCTCTGTTTGGTGAAGACAATAGTCTGTTCGTGTACGCCCATTGATCTAACGACGACGAACTGCTACGCGTCTAGCCAACGCTTTCGCGAGTCTCTGCAAGATTATGTTCGGTCAACAGAAA